CCCGTGCCCCCCTTCCCGGAAGGGGCGGCCTCCCGCTCGCCGCTACAAGAAAGCGAGTCTCCTTCCTTCCGCCCTCTAGGAGCAGACACCGTACCCCGGGTACGCGCCCCGCTACTGGAGCGCGGCCGCGCAGCCTCCCACCGCCTACGCCTCCAGCCCCTGTCCCTCCGGCTACAAGAAAGCGAGTCTCCTTCCTTCCGCCCTCTAGGAGCAGACACCGTACCCCGGGTACGCGCCCCGCTACTGGAGCGCGGCCGCGCAGCCTCCAACCGCCTACGCCTCCAGCCCCTGTCCCTCCGCGCCTGACGGGCAAGGCCAGGTACGGCGAGGAAAACCTTCCCCTCGTGGTTCCCTCGAAACCCGAGGTGTCTGCTGAGGCCTGGCTACGCCTGGAGGCCTGGGGCTGAGACCGGCTGAGCTGGAAGCGGGCTCTCGGTTGCCTCCCACGGCAGACGTCCCAGGGCGTTTGGCTCCCTTTGCCCTTTCCCCCTTGCTCCGGGAGCTTCCAGTAATGCTCCGCACTGGCGCTTCAAAGTACTGAACGGAGGCTAGCAGCCCGCTCGGGAACGCCCTAGCAAACGGCGTGCTGCAAGCGGTGACAGCTCCCGGCCCTTCCTGCACAAAGCACTGTCAGGTCCATAGCCTGCGGACACCCATCACAGATCCCCCCCCGTCCGTAACTGAAGAAATGACCCCAAACGACTCTGAGATCTCACGGATCTCATTCTTGCCTTATGCCTAGAGGAGGGGCCTGGCAGAGAGGCGATGTGACTAGCTGGAGCTGGGAAATCCTTGGCTCTAATGCCCTGCTCGCCTTGAGTTAGCAGGGCTTGGAGCGAGAGCGTGCTTCGTTGCCGGATGGCGGCACTTCGGTCTGCTCCGCGGGTTTCTCTCCCTGTCCTCTCCCCCACGGCTACGTGCTGGTGAGATGCCTTGTCTGCCCTCAATGTTGCTGCAACTCCTGTGCTCCCTTCTGCGCGTGGGTGGCCTCTGAATCTTCTCAGCTCACAGAAATAAACAGATTCGTTCTTCTGCCATCTAGTTATGAGCAGTGTTAGGACCAACTTGAAGATTCTACCCTACCCAGAAATTACCTGTTACTTTCAAAGCATTCTTGACGCTGAATCATAATGTTATCTAGCTGTGCCAGACTGTCTGGATTTTTAAGTTCATGTCTTATGTCTTTAAGTGTAACTGTGTTTTTTTTTTTTTTTAATGGTCTTGTAGCTTCATGTGCAAACCATTTTGCATTAAATAAGAATCTGGTCTCCCGTTCTGCTGGTTTGGGGCAGGTGTTTTTAATTGAAGAAAATGGAAGACGATGAACAGGGTAGAAAGTTTTATCTTAATATCCAGGTCAAGGTGAAATTTTTAAGTTATATATATATTTTTTTAATGAAGAGATTGCTGGGGCAACGCTGCCATCCTTGATTTGTCTGCTGCCAGGAGATGACTGGTAAGAATTGGGAATCACCATGTAATGCATACACTGGTCCCAACTAATAGATTCTTTATCGAGAAACAGAATTGTCTGTTCTCCGATGTGAATGTGGAACTCGGGAATCTAATGCCCGACACCTAAAGGCACAGCAAACTAAAGATGTCAGCTGCACAGACAGTGATATGTGTACGGTCAACCTC